CAGGACCTTGCACTTGGCCTTGCTGACATCGGCTGTGTTGGACATAGAGGAAGCTTCTAGCAGCTCCTCACAGATGCCACCCCTGTAGCCCCCACCCCCCCTTGCCACACAAACCAAATATATCTGGTATTTCAGTTCAAGCAGCATTTATGCAATAGTTAGTGCCTGGAAACTTCACAGGGAGGAATGTCTGTACCTGCAGCTGGGATAGACTATGTCTTCATTAGCAAGCAGTGCAGCCGAGCAGGAAGAGCTATGTCAGGCACAACAGATGCTGAGCACCCAAACTCAGCGTGCCTGGGAGCTGGGGATTATTCCTTGGGCCTGCCTGGGCTGTGCTCCTGTGCGTTAGGCACGCGCCAGGAGCACGTTTTCCAGTTTGGTTTCGCCTGCAGGGAGTCCTCGGCTGTGCAAGCTCCTCACAGCACGATCCAAGGAGAGGGCTGAAATTCCCTTCTAAAGTACTGGAGGGAAGGTGATGGAGAAGAGACACCTTCTGTCTCACACTGGCTCTAATCTCATCCCTGACAGCGTCTCCCCCACTTCCTTTGGTTTGTCATTTACCTTGCCAGCGGGATGGGACTTGGAGCATGTCACTTGTTTCCTGTATGGACGGAACGCAGCTGGGAGATGCTTAACAAGTTCACAAGACTTGTGTACAAACTAAGCAGCTCCAGCATGCCATCCTGCAGGAGCTGCAGAAAGAAAAGACAAAGGAAATGGTCTCATTTATCCCTTCTGAAATACAACTGTAAATTGTGTTATGATTTTGTCGATACATAGTGCTAGCGAAGATTTCAAATAAATAATGTTGTGACCCCAAGGGCCTTATTGATTTTGTAATAATTTAGAAGAGAAGCCACTCAGTTTCCCATTTGCTGATAAATTCTGTGCTCCCTGAGGAATTCCTATTGAACACATATTAAAGACAGGATAAAATAATTCCAGGGAAATACAGAGAGGGCTTTGTGCATGGACTCTGCTCAGCGAATGGTATTTAACCTCTGACCAGTGACGACAGGTCTCCTTTAGCTCTATTAGATCAACAGCAAGCTACTATAATTAAATAAAAAAACTGTTTAGAGCCTCACCAAACATGTCCTGGGAATTAAAGCATATGGCAGGGATAGTGAAAAAAGACTTTCCATATGCTAATGACCCTTGATGTCTGAAATAAATTAGATCCATTAGAGTTTATGCTCAATAAAAGAAAGACTTTAAGCACTCCAAAGTTAGTGACTCGAGACCGATTTTGGCTTAGAAATTCAATCTGCCTGCTTATTAATTCTTAGTAAGGCTCTCAAGGAGGCAGGGGGATACAAAATCATAATTCTGTGCTGTATCAGAATTTTAAAGTACCATCAGTTTCTTTTCCTTCTTTTTTATTAATTAAACCATTTTTCATGCTTCCCTTTTTTTGTTCTCCTCATTAATTTGATTTTGTTCCCATTTTTGTTTAATTTCTTTCTTTTTAAGGTTTCATTTATCCTATTTCAACTGAACAGAGAACCGAGAATGAATATGGATTTTCTTGTAAGTTTAATGTTTGATTTTATGTTCCTGGATGCTAATATGGTGCTGTTCCTTGGGTCAAGCTTTATGCTAGCTCTGTGTGAGCAGGCAAAGAGGGACTTATTCGGCAGAGTAAGTGGCATGCTGCTTGCTTGACACCAGCCGCAGTGTTCCACTGTCAGCAGGCTGACACAGAATGGTAACAGCCCATTTCCATCAGGAAAATGGGAGAAGATGCTGCCTCAGAAACAGAAACTGGAGAGAATGAACCTTCTTCTCAGTAAAATTTCCTCAGCAAATGGAAGAAATGTGGTGGAGGGATAACTTTTTGAGTTGGAATTTAGAGATCGGCTTCCTGAACTGCTGGGGGAAAAAATGGGATGCTTTGAGGGGGCTACATTGAAGGTCTTGATATCCAGGAGCTTACAGAGATTGATCAGTCTCTTCAACATCTGCCAGCTCTCACTTCTGCAGCTGTAAGGCAGCTTCCCTGAAATGGCTAAAAGGGGTGAAGCAAATAAAAATTATTTCATATGTTCCAAACCAATAAAAATAGAGTATTAAAAAAAGTCTGATTTAGTTTTGCACTCTCTTTTTTCATTATGCTATTTCTGAAACTCAGATGGTTCTCTGTATAGAAACACATCAAATTTTTATCATATATTCAGGCATTCTGAAAAAAAAAAAAAAAGTATCTTGTGGATAATGATGCTGGAGATTAGCCTGGAATTAGTGCTAAAGATACGGTATAAGCAGCTAGTAGAAATATCATAGCCATTTTCTCACAAGACAGCTCTAATACATCTGCATTCCTTTTGGTAAATTACCACATTATTTTTTGTGCTTGCTTCCACTTTTATCCAAATATGTAAGTGTTAGCACCAGTGATGAGAATCCAGTGTTTGATTCTCTGCTTTACTAGATTTATTTTTTTTTAAAGGGAAATGGGTGGCAGGGAATAATGGCGTGACACATTATTGTTCAGAAAAAGCAAGCTCCAGGATACATCCTGATATTTCAGCTATTCCATAGAAAATGGACTTTTGGGGAGTGTTGACCTTTTTTTCCTTTTTTTTTTTTTTTTGAGTAAAACGTAACGCTTCTGAAGTTTAAAAACCCACAACATTTTTTTTTTTGCTATCAGATAAGCCACTGAATCCCAACATTATTACCCTTTGTCACCAGGACATACTATTTTATTTCATAGGGTGAATTTGCTTCATGAGACTAAGTTTTTAATGTGTTATGCTTGGTAGTTCACAGCATGGGTACTAGGCAGATGAACAAGTGGATAGGGAAAGACTTAGAACACAAGTTAGAGAGAAATCAAAGATGAATTTCCATCAAAAGGGCATAGACCTGTTATATAGCCTTGGAAATGGATTTTAAATTAACCTATAAAAAAAGGCAATAAATACCTGCAGGAAATGAGAATAATAAGAATGTGTTTTCTTGAAAGTCTCTGTGAGGAGGACATTTCTTCAAGGTTCTCTCTCCCTGCAGCTGCCCCAGACTCGGATGATGTTGCTCTCTACGTGGGGATTGTCATAGCAGTGATCGTGTGCCTGGCTATCTGCGTGGTCGTGGCCCTCTTGGTCTATCGCAAGAACCACCGTGACTTCGAGTCCGATATCATTGACTCCTCCGCTCTAAACGGGGGATTTCAGCCTGTTAACATCAAGGCTGCAAGGCAAGGTGAGTTGATATTTCACTCCCTGTTGACCAATTCAGGAAGATGCTATAACGTTATGGTCTCTTGGGCTGCATGAATGATACTTGCTGGATGCTTGCTGACGCTTGATAAAAGGGAGAGAGTCCATATCCGTATTTCTGATAGTCAAAGTGCTCAAAATCTACACTGGCATTTTTCAGATGTGCCCAAGAGCATACAGCAGAGGAATTTAACTTCTGAGGAGAGAGCCTGAATGTAAGAGTGAAACACAGAGACATTTGTGATAATACAGGTCCAGTTCAAATTTAAATCAAAGGCAAAGCACTGGATGAAACAGTGGAGGCAGGGTTCATCACACAAGTGATATTACAGTACAGTAATTCCATCACATATTCCTCCTCTTTGTTTCAATAATAGCCTTTTTTACTATGCCATGTCTCCACAAGCATAAATAGTAGCTTAAGAAGTACTGTACTTTCAACAGACAACGTAAAAGAAGTTGGAGTAGAACATCATTTAATAATGAGCATTTTTGTCACTGGTGTGTAACAATTTCTTTATTTCCACACTTCATTGGCCAGAAAAAAAAAATGCTCTAAAGGTGGTGTTGGCTTTTTCAAGACCCATATTTAGGCTGAAGAGTTCCTCTTTTTTCCCAATATGAGTGCTAAAAAAAATAAATCAAAGTAGGAATTAAGATGACAAAGGAGCTGTCATGGGGAAGATAAGCAGAAGTGTTGTTTTCTTTGCTGGAGATAGATACTTTTAAAACAAAACTCCAAGAAGTGTGGTGCAGGTACTAATCCCCCACTGTGGGGAGTTGTGGACATAATGGCTTCATAGGCTTGTTCTGTCTTTTATTTAAGGAATGCTGTCATTTGGCTAATTAGATAGATTGCATAGTGATTGTCACTTAGCACCTTGGGGAGGGGGGTGTTATTAGTTAATAAAACTAGTTCTACTGAGTAAGGAAAACACCTTGCCCTGAAGCTAAGCATATCATACTTGAAATCTGAGTGCAGCCTGGAAAAATAATCCCAGTGAAAAGTCATTAGAGCAGAAAAGTGCTGTAACTCTGTATAACAATAAGGTTCCATACAAGCTCAGGGAGTTTGCCAGAGAGAAGTATAGAGAAGGAGATGAAGATCTGTGAGCAAGGACTTTGCATATCTTAACCTTTGGTATGACATGCAGAATGCAAGCCCAAGTTGTTACCCAGAAGAAAGTCATCAGAATTGAGAAGTAATACGGTTCTTCCCTCTCATCTCCAATGTAGACCTCCTGGCGGTACCACCAGACCTCACTTCTGCTGCAGCCATGTACAGGGGGCCTGTTTATGCCTTGCATGATGTCTCTGATAAAATCCCAATGACCAATTCGCCAATCCTGGACCCGCTCCCCAACCTGAAGATCAAGGTTTATAACACCTCTGGTGCTGTCACCCCCCAGGATGACCTCTCTGACTTCTCCTCCAAGCTGTCCCCACAGATTACACAGTCTCTGCTGGAGAATGAGACCCTGAACATGAAGAGCCAGAGCCTTGCTCGGCAAACAGACCCATCATGCACTGCATTTGGGACCTTCAACTCCCTAGGAGGTCACCTTGTAATTCCCAATTCAGGTAAGTGCTAACTATGTTGGCTTAAAGGCTCAGTTGTTTTGTGGTTTTAAGTGGAGTTAGATTGCTTTTATGCTGGGAAAAGCTGGGTCACTCCTGGGACTCTGCCTTTTCCGTGCTCAGAACAAGCAGATGGGTTTTTTTCCCCCCAAATGTACTTCAAGTATTCTTTTCCCAAAGTCCTGACCACCTTTTTAACAGAATATTGCAGGGCTCTTAGCTATTTTCTGAGAGATGTGGGACTTCAGAGCTTCCCTGTGTGAAGTGCAATTAAACATCCTTGACCTTTTCCTTTCATGCAGTTCGGGAAAAGAAACTCTAAGCCAGAAAGCCCCAATCTTGTCATCACACATAAAAAGGACAAATTAATTAAAAAACAAATCACTTGTTCCACTTCCAGTTCATTGCAGACTGTGTGGTATTGAAGTAGAACAGCAGAATAATAATTTTTGGATGGCTTTTTTCATGCACACATTACATACCCAAGGAAAATAAGGCCCAAGAGTGTATTTTCCATAATTTCTCTTCTGATTATGTGTACTGTTGATTTCTTTTAGAACTAGGAAAGAGAGAGACTGAGCATTGAGTGCCTTCTGATAGAATTGCAAAGTGCTGCTCAGTCTTTCTCATACAGTGGGAGGCCAGTCTGCCAGGCCCCCTCAGGTCACCCTGGCACCGTGAGGAAGTTTCAGAGCTTCCAGGGAGCTCCTGGAGAGCTCAGCTCTCACAGACAGCGTTTGTAGGAGAGCTGTACTGCTGTTGGTTCCTAAATGAAGTGTTGACATTTAAAGGAAGTTCGGCACTTTGATGTTCCTGGGGGTTTGGCACACTAGTGAAGAGCAACATTAACATCTAAAGTGGATTCAGATCAAATGCATAAAACACTGGATGTGAGGGATAAGCAGGTTCTACAGTGGTCACAGTCCCCTTGCCTGGTTTCTCTGGAGCTCTGAGTCCAGATAGGACCACAGCACATGTGAGATCCCAGGTCACAGCTACCTGACATGGTAGCTCAAGGTTTCACAGCATTTCTGCCTTCCTCCTTTACATTAGGTGGTCAGCTCTTGTCCATTTTACAGCACAGTGCCCTGTCCAAGAAGGTAATGCCTGCCTCTTGTGTTCTGCTCCATTGCTGGATCTTTTCTGGTTTGTTGATGTTATGGAGAAAGCAAAATACCTAGGCAGCTAGACCTTGGTGATTTGGTCCTTCCAAGAAGCAGCCCCACACTGCCCAGGAAGCAGATAAAAGTGAACAGTAGCTCTCCTCTTTGAGCTACTGTGCAACAGGGTGTAAAAATAGGTGTTAAATTTAAGTGAAAGCTGAACTACTTAAAGAAATCTGGTACTGACTTCTGAACACATTGAAATTTCATGCTATACAATTCCGGAATTCAGATTTCTCTAAGTAGCAGCTGAAGTAGACATTAATATTCAGGCTTCTTATGCTATGGTGGTGCACATTGTCAGGAAATTCTGTTAGTCACATTTAACTCACATATATTGATACCAATTTGTAAAGGAAAAAAGATATTATTTATTGCTGTAATCCCTTCAAAATTATTAGAATAAATGTTTTGTAAAATATATCGATCTGTCTACTGCTACTGTGTATGCCTTCATGCTGCTTCTAGAAGCATGTATATCCTTCTAGTATATCACATATGATCAAAGCCCTTCATTTATGCTATACCTGCCCTGTTAAAGCCCAGAACATGCACAGCTGAGGGAGTAAGAGGCCTGTAAAGAAAGAAGTATCAGAAGGTGTTCATGGAAAATGCTTTCCTAGCTAATCTCTCCCCTTCAAAGCCATGTGGTGAGGCTGACCCCCTGTACACCAACACATGGGAGGTCTCCAGTGTAACCAAACCACAGATGCTAAAGAGGCAAGGCCTTGGAGCCTCCCTTGTGCATATGCATGTAGGTAAATAATCTGTCTGGAGGTTTGTTTTCACCTGTGTAGTAACAACTGTGTTTCAATCCTTGCTGCTGATTCGCAGCTGATCGGCGCCTGCAAAGGCAGTTGGCTTGACAGAGGCATATCCAGCAGAGTGAGATAGGTCATTCGTGTGCTGTGTTTGTCATGTAATGACAGGACATTTCTGAAATGGCAATAATGTATGAACAGTGGCTTGTAATCAAGGATGCAACTGATCACCACTGAAAAGAGCCCACATATTTGTCAAGATTGGATACCTGAATTTTGAGCCATTTTATAGGGACTAGGCACATTCAAAATACGGAGAAGCCAAATTTTGTCTCCCTGGTAGCCTAATTAGAAGCTGAATGCATGAAAAGACAGGATGCCAGTCACAGAAGACATCTTTCAGGAAACAACTAGTTCTTGTTGCTTCCTGGGACAGTGCTCCACTGCTTTTCTTACTTTAATTTAATTAAGTAAGAATTGCCTAGGGAGAGATGTCCCGTTACAGCTGTTGGAAATTTTACTTGGAGTTGTTAGTTTTTCCATCATTTTACAAGGTAAGCAGCAGCGTAACCATCTGTCTGCTCTTTAAATAAAATAGTAGAGAATGGAACAAAATCCTCTTTTCCACTCCCATGTTTCAGTGCTGATGCATAAGAGAAGTAAAAACAGGCTTGCTGACCGCCCAAGTCACCCAGGTTACAGTAAATGCTTTTTCTCCTGGGTAGCTGAGGTCATGTAGAGTTTGCTGGTGAGACTGGGTGAAAATCTGGCATCACTGACTTTATCTTCTGCCCCTCCTGTCACTCTGTGGGCCCACTCGCCTCTTTTTTCTTTATTTTATCTTTTGTGTCTCTTCTGTTCTGCAGGAGTAAGCCTGCTGATCCCAGCAGGGGCTGTTCCACAAGGGAGAGTCTATGAAATGTATGTGACAGTTCACAGGAAGGAGAACATGAGGTAAAAGACTGCTTTTATTTGCTTGTGCATTAACAGAGGGGAAGAATGTAATAACTAAATACCTGTGGTAATATGCTTATGCAAAGCCTGCTATGTTGAAGCTCTTTTATGACTTGGAGGTAAACGCTTGCAAAGCCAAGGATAAACTTTGCCACAGAACCAGCTCAGACTTTTGCTTTTCTAACCAAGAGTTGCACTCTGCAGCAAGCCCTTGGGCTGGGGGGTTGCTGAATTGTGGCCAGAAGCAAGGAAAATGGGCCAGCGTGAGTTTGGTGCAGCACAGAAAGTGTGAGGTAAACTTTTAATAACGACCCCTGCTGTAAAGGACAAGGGAGTGGAGGAGCAAGGTGACAAACTGGGTCAGCAGAGGGATGGGTGCCTGAGCACCTGGCTTGGAGAGCCTCTTCTCCTGTTATAATGAAGATAAGTTTTTATTTCACCCTTCAGTGGCTTGGATGGTCCATGCAGTGAAAAGGATGGAGCTAAAGCTTTTGATGCCCTCCATCCCTCCTTGCTCCAAGGTGGAAGTAAGCAAGTAGTTGTCCTGCTTAGCAGCAGGCACTCCATAGTGACAGCCACCCAGAGCCAGTGTTGGGATGACTCTTGTTCTCACCTGTTACCTGCATGTGTGCCAAATTCATATTCTATATCGTAATGTCTAACGAGTGCTCCGGCAGCCTTGGCATAAAAAAAAGTTTCCAAAAAGGCCAAGATACCATTTGAAGCAGTTTAGGAAAACCTAATGAAGGGAAAGGTGAGATCTTAGTCTGCAGAATGGACTTGAGCACAAAGGCTGAATGGTAAATGTGAATCTAAGCAATCATTACATGGTACTTTGCCTCTTTCCCCTTCTCATAGCTAGATACATTTTTTGGCTCAGCCCCTTAATGGCTTTTATTATGTGCTAAGCCACAGCTGTTTATACACTGCATGATATTGAACACTATTCTTTAGCTGGGTAGTCTTTCACACATGCTAAAATAATCTGCTTAAAGAAGAAATAAGTAACCCCTCCTTCCACCCTTTTGCATACATTATTCATGGCCTGCTCTTTGAAAATGGCTAATTGCAGCTACAGAAGTCTTTATGTTCATAGCTAGTATTGATTGTATTCCTATTATTTTTGGCTGTGTTTTAAAGACATTTACAAACAGCATTGAAAAAGGACTGTTTCCCGCAGAGGGGGAAAAAAATAATCAGAGGACATCCCCTATTATTCAACTCTGCCTCCAAATATCACTTTTAAAAATATCTAATTCTTAAAAAATAGAAAAAGAAAAAAAAAAAAAAAAAGGAAAGAAAACCACTTTAAAACTATTCATTCCTAGGAGGAGCTATATGTGCAATTATTTTCTTTCCAGCCAGTTATGGAGGGAATCCCTGTTTCCTTATTCATGCAGCTGTGAACAACCAATGTCACACGCTAGTCTGATTTATTTTCTTCAAGGATCATAAAGCCTCCTGTGCGTGCTTTGTGGTAGCTGTTCCTCAGCAGGTCACACAGGGGATAGCAGGCTGGGTTAACCTGGAGTGGGGAACGTGTGTGTGGAGCTGTGCTCTGCCAAACTGAGCAAGTGTGCTGAAGTACACTCCCAGAAGTGAACTGAAAGGTGTGAATCCTCACTTGCAGTGCAGACTTTGGGAAGAGATTACTTCCCCTTCCTTGACCCATGGGACAGCAGGGCTCAGCCCACTGTGGTGGTGGTGGATTCCTGGGTGCACAGACCCCAGCTGCTTCTTTGATTTATGGCAGCTTTTCAGCCCTGCTCCAGCATGCCAGGCTCATCATGTTCATGGAAACCAACCAGTTCTAGGAGATTTAAGATGGACCTTCTTGGGTTTTGTCTAGATCATTTGGAACTGAACAGTCACTAAAGAGGACCTAAATACTGCAGACTATAATGTCCTTCTCTGTTACCTACTCCCTTTCCCTATGTGCCCAGGAGCAGAAAGGGCTGGGTGGCACCCAGCTGTAATGGTCTCCCGCTGTAGGCCTGTGTTACCAGACACTTCACTTGCTGTAGCAGAGCTGCAGCTTGGTCAAAGCCTCTTTTTTCCTGACTGAATGAGCCACAGATGTTGCTTCATGTAATTGGAGTCATAAGGGTACCACAAGTTAGTGTGCAGCATAATTATTTTTTAGATTCGCTGCTGCACTCTTACAGCACTCCAGCAGAGAGTGATAGTCCACAGTAAGGACTATCTGCAGACATTTGCTTTTGTGGCCAAGCACTAACTGGAGTGTGTTCAATAAACCCTGATTTATTTTCATGAGCACTGTGTAAATGTGTGTGGGTTGAAAAGTCCTGTTGCGCGTGTTGATGTCATTTGGAAGGGCACATATAGGAAACTAGGTAATGGGATGTTATAATCAAAAATGAAGGCAGGCTCTTTTGCTTGATATACAACCCCACTAAGGTGAGAATGTGGTCCCCATGGTGCTACCCTAAACAGAACCAGTGTAACAACAGAGATGCTCACCATTACAGCTCACATAGCTCCCACAGCTTTAAGATTTAGCTCACACTTTGTTCGTAGAAATATGAAACAAATTCTGAACGGTGAAGCTGAAGTAGGAAATCTGTTATCCCTCAGAGTCCTGCAATTTCCCCTTTTTTTTCTTCATTTGTTTGCCTAATACATTTCCCCAGTTCATCTCTGAAGCCTGTAGTACAGAAATTTGAGAGCCTTTATAACCCAGTAATACCGTGTTGTCTTGCAGATTGGTTAGGAGAGCTTTCCAAGACATCTTGTTTATTCTGTTTCATATCCATCAAAGCATGTGAGAGTAGGAGGGTCACTCTAAAAGCATTATACTTCTGCAGTGAATTGGGGTTCTTATGGCTTGCAGTAAACATCACCTGGAGGGCATTGTTTTCTCTAAGTGTGTTAGTGTGCTTGTGGCATGGTGGGTTTTCTCTTCTCCTAGACCAGTTCTCCAGCAAGCTGCTTTTCCTGCTCCTGCACCATTCTCAGTCTGCTGTCACTCGGGGCAGGATGGATGGCAAGCGGCTACCAGGCTCTGATCCCTGGCTGGTGTGTTGACTTCATGGAAAGGTCCATATGCTTTATGAAGTGGCTGCAGTGGGGAAAAGGGTATCTATTTACATATATGTGTGTACATATATATATAACAGAGATATATATATATATATAATGGCAAACCCATAAGAACACTTCACAGCTGTTAGACAGGTTTCTGTCTTGAAGCTCATTGGCTTTTTCATTGTTGATCAGATGCTCTCTCCCTTAGACTGGGAAAGTATCAATGACTTTGACATTTACAAGAAGAGGTCCCTTCTTGAGTTGTGATTCCAATTATAAAATAAACTCGTTGCTGTGACAAGTACCTGGCAAGAGCCTGTTCCCATGAGCATCTCTGAGAGCATAGGTCTTACATGACTAAGGATTAAGTAGCATGGGTATAAACTTCCAACCTTCAGGATTTTCTTGAATGCCTCGGGTTAAAAAACAAATTTAGCTGTGAGCTAAATTAGAAGAGCTGTGTGCTTCCTTTGGAAACATCTGGCACTGGTCAGTGCAAGACAGGGTCTGGGTCTTGATGGACCACTGGTTTGATCTTGTATGGCAGTTCCCGTGTTCCTGCGTGAACCCCTGCTGAGCTTGCACAGCTTTAGGTGGAGCTACTCTTGCATGCTCTAATTGGAGGCAAGAACTGCGCTAAAATACAGCAGAGTGAAGGACATTCCTGTATCTGTCACACAGAGATGTCACACAGGAGATGATGCAAGTAGAGTGGATGTCACCATGCCCATGAAATGTGACAGCCCTGAAGAACGGAGCAAGCAGCGGTCCTGAAATTCTTGATGGAATACACACTTCCAAATTAGCTACCTTAAAAGAGAGAAGGGCCAGTTGAGCCTTGTCAGGCTTTGGATCAGTGGCTTCCTAGTGTATGTGTAGACTTTATATTAAAGTCACGCAGCTGATCAATGAGTTTGATCCAAGGAGCAATGTTGTCTTTTTTCACCAGTAGACTCTAAGCTTAGTGATGTGAAATAAAAGAAATTGAACTTTCCTGCATCTCTTTTCTCTGCCTTCCTTCTGTATCTCACTTGCATAAACAAAATTACTTTGCAACTCCAGAAGACAATGTCATGAAGTGCCAGTCACTGTAATTGAAAAATTCAAAATAAAAAAGACCAGAGCATAAGCAAAAGGGGAGGAAACCTTTTTGTTCTAAAGATAGACTTGAAGAAGAACCAGAGTCAGTCAAGAATATTAAGTTTGAAACATAAGAAGGAGCGAGTATTAAAAATAAAGCCACAGCAATGAAAGGAGAGAGAAAATATCTTCCCTCTGACTTCTGGCTAAGCTGTATAGAAGAGTTGCCATCTGTTGCTAGAGTTAGCCATTCCTCTCTCCCTGCTCTGTCCTGTGCTTCCAGAGCTGCTGTGATTGCCTGTAACAGCTATGCATGGTGCCAGGGAGTACAGTGTAGGCCCACTGAGGAGCAGATATTTCTCTAGTTGTGCTCACATCTGCTGTCTGACAGCTACCTTAATGAATGTGGTCTGGCTTATTACAGGGAGATGGTTTTGAATGAGTAATCCCATTAAAAGCACAAATTTGATTGTGAAGGGACCAGTTACAGTGAATAGAAGTTTGTTTGCTTTTAAATAAAAGTTGACTGTTCTTGATAGGCAGTGCAGGATAGGGCAACAGCTAAAAATATCTGAAGACCTTTCAGTTAGTGTTCATGTCTTTTAATAGCAATGCTAAACAAGAGATTGAATTTCTGTCTCAGTCAGATCTTGGTAAAGCAAAAACATCTCTTGTCGCCTGCAGTCAAGTGATTTTGGGGTCATATAGCTGAATGCCCAGTCTCATCTAGTAAATTGTCCCAAAACTGCTGCCAGCCTAAAGTGAAGCCCATATGGTGTTTTGCAGGGTTTGGGTTCTTTTTTAGATAACAACCTATACTAGGTTCTGGCCCACAGTTTTGAAGAGGTCTGCTTATAAATCCCTCTGCTTCAGAGGAGGTATCTCCCTTGCTCTGTATGCTCCCCTGTGTCTGTGTTTGTGCTGGATCTCCTGGATCTATAACACAGAAATTGCAATACTCGATCACAACAGGGGCTCGTCTACACCAGGATCCTGTCTTTGCATCACCTGCTCCAGGAGAAGGAAGAAAATTGCTCGTAATGAATGACTACACAATAACTTGTCTTCAGGGGAATTTCTTGTTTACTAATTCCATCAATTAGTGTTGGGTTTGTGCCTTGAAGCAGAAAGATTAATATCTCTTGTATAATATATCATGTCTACTGCATCTGTTTCTGTTCTCATTAGCTATAGTAAGGCATAATCCTTTTGTTTTAAAATGGAAATTGGAAACAGTGAGAAATAAGAAAAGATCTGTCAAGAGATTTTTGTTCCCTTTTCCTGTCAGTTATGATAGGGTACCTCTCTGCCATATGTGCCATTGCAGGGTTTAGCTTTATTCCTCCGGGTTTCAGGTGTTTATTTCCGAGATCTTGCTGTGGTCCCTAAACAACCTGTTACCTGTAGTGACGTTAGAGCTGGCTAGTGAAGGGAATATCACCTCAGCGTGCTCTGACATCCCTTGTCCTATACTGCCCTAGAAATCAGATTCGCCTTTTTGCTGCTGTGTCACATTACAAGTTGACACCTGCTGTGTTGCAGTAAGCTTGCTTGAGATATTTTTCACTTTTATTGCTTTCTTTGCTACTAAATAACTATGTTTGGAACTTGTTTTGCTCCAACAGCGTAGGCTGCTATACAGTTAAGAGCATTTTATTTCCTGTGCATATTTTTACCATCTCTGGCAGTGTTCAATAACTTTGGGGTGCCAGACTCGGATGCGTATCTGGTTGGTCATTTGGGACTGCAAAGTCAAACACCTCTGCAACGGGCCCAATTTTCTTCTCTTCACTCATCAGTGTCCTCTATTGTAAATACGCAGGTCAGGTCTCATCCACCTGGCAATAAATCTTGTAAGTCTGGTGATAAAGATGCTGCTTATCAAACTGGGGAAAAAAATACTAAGCCTTGCTATTTTTTGTGTGTCTTTTGTATGCTTTTATCCACTTCCCATCTTGCTTGCTGACCATGCAGTCTGCAGCACCTCCCAACTTCGTGTTCTGCATCATATTTTATATTTGTGCTAATGGTATATAAAATGTTGTGGTGCAGAATCATGCCCTCCATCAGAGTCTTAAAATGTAACAGCTAACAAAATTTTGTCACGGAGCAGCGACTAAACTTAATTTTACTTTGAGACAGCTTTAGGCTGTATGATTTATCAGTATGGTATTATTTTAACGACCTTTTGACATTTTTTAACCACATGCATCAGTGCTCAGATTTCTGTCAATTTTAACTCATTTTTGACCTAAAAAGTACTGTATGGATTTTTTTTTATGGCAATTGTGATATATTCTCTCCCATATTCTTTTTGACTACTGGTTTTGTAATTCAGTTCAAAAAACTATGATAACTTGTACTTTTTTCCTTCCTTCTTCACAGGTCAATAGTCTTTCAAATGAAGTTAGGTTAACCAGATGATTAAGTCTATAGTTTGTCATATCTGTAGCTTTGCAGACAAATACTGTAATTTTGTGAGATCTTTTGTTTTCTCATAAAATATCATGGTTTTTGAAATTACTGCATAAAGTAGATGAGAATTAAAAACAACTGCCACACCATGAGTGTTTTTTAAGCTTCTTGTTGCTTCTTATGAAAAAAAAAAAGTTAAATGAGTCTGAAAAGGGGTGAACATTTTATTCAAAAAAATGCCCAATGATTTATTCATTTCAATCTTGCAAGAGAGTGATCCCTGATCTTCTTAATCTGACTCCAGAGCTCCCTACAGTGTGCAAGAGGAGCTAGATCTGTTAGTGTTTAATTTCTTTTTTGTGCTGTTTGTTAGGCTAAAATAACCAGCATAATAGACCATAACTGTCCAGATTGTTATACTTTACATCTTTTTTTGACAGGCAGCTATATTGCAGCTGTTTGTTTCCAGTCCATGGCTTTTCAGAAACAATTGTTAAGTCATTTAGTAAACTCATCGTTAATTTCCACAGATGCATATCATCTGGATTTACTGATTTGCATAGATTAAAATTTTTCCATGCTGGGCCTTTTTTTTTCTTTTTACCTCAAATGTTATTAAAACTTCCCACAACATTTGTAGCAACAAGAGGTATTTTTCAAAAGTGCCTTTGTCCCACTTGGAAAAAGTATTTCTCAACAGTTTGTCTTTCATTTTCTGTGAGTTTAATGGAATATTCAAGAATTGAGGAATACAAATTTAGGATATGCCTGTGGACATATCTCTGCAATAGCCTGGATGGGTGCAATAAATTTGATATCAAAATAGCTTCTGTCCTGATTTCCTTTCTTGAAAATGTTATCTGAGATTACAGCTAGTTTTTTGGCTCTTTCTTTTGGTAAAGGCAAAGACTTGCAGAAATAATCAGTATTTAATGTTGTCTCAACTAATTCCACTAAGGCCAATACAGATGTAAATACAAGTATTTGTATATGCAATAAGAGATTGAACCCTTAGCTGGAACAGAAGATGGAAGGTCCTGTGGGCAGATCTGGAGTTTAAGCGCAGATCACATTGAACACTTTTAATCTCCCACTTACTGGTTTCTGGATCATGAATTTGTCCTCTGTATTATTTAGGGAGGCAGTTGATGAGGCACATTCAGCTGTATTTGCCATACACCAGATGTCGGGATAGTTAAAGTCACTCATGCTTCCTCTGTTTTTAAGCTCCTCAGCAGTTGGTCTGGGCTGGTTTACACATGAACGTGTGTGTGCACACACGCACACAGAGTGTATGCTGTGTATCCTCAATGTTTATATGATTTACCATAAAACTCATTCCTAGAGACTGGCAGCAAGGGCACTGGACAATGCCCGTGTTTTTAACTGAACAGTTCCAGGTTATCACCAGAAATCTCAGGGTTTGTGAGTGTTTTTTTCTCTCTGCACTATTTCTTGCCATTCCTTTGCCATTTCTCCCCCAACACTGGTGCCACCTGCTCCCCACATTTATAGTAACTGTTCTGGTAGATCTAAATGTCTTTTAAGTAAAATGGAGTATCAGAGGGCTTGGTGCTGACTCTGAACTCAAACTACAAGTCTCAGACATGCCACTTAAAAGGTTTCAGATGTGCTCATTATTTATTCTCTTTCTTGGTTCTTCAATTTTGTCTGCCCAGACAGTAAATAATTCTCATACATTGTGTTTACAAGAGCCAGTGTTCATTTTTGTGTGCTGCTACATGACTGCCAAATGCAGCGATGACCACATTTCGGGGTGAAATGAAGCCTCTGTGTGCCATCTGCAAAGATCCTTCAGAGTGGAGGGTGCTCAGCAAATGTGGTGTATAATTTGCTGCCACCTAAGCCTGCATTTTGGCAAATAAATGATAGTTGGGGAAAAAAAAGCCACAACATTTTGGGATTTGGGTTAGAAAAAAAAAACAACTCATTTTTTTCGTTTGCACAATCTTTTTATTTTAAGAGAAGGATGTTTTGTGTTTCCCTAACAGAATGTACCTTTTTGCCTTTTTCAACTCACTTTAACATCTTTTTGTCCCCTTGTCAGGCCACCTGTAGAAGACAGCCAAACCCTGCTGACACCAGTGGTGAGCTGTGGCCCTCCAGGAGCCCTGCTAACCCGGCCTGTCATTTTAACCATGCACCACTGCGCAGAACCAAACACAGAGGACTGGCAGATCCAGCTGAAGCACCAGGCTGCCCAGGGACCATGGGAGGTGAGTCTCCAGAGCTCCAGCCTTTGTGCTGCCTGTGTGCAGGGCTCTCTGCTAGTCCTTCAGCTGCCTTTCCAAACTAGGGTGCCTGTATTTTGAGTTTTCCGTGTGAGATGCATGGCTACTGTGGGCAGGCAGGAATACCCTTCAGCACCAGAGCTGCCCAGTGCCCATGCAAAGGTGCTGTCTGGAGGCAGTTTGGTGCCTCCTAGTTCCAGATATTTTCCATGAGATAGCCTTCCTTGTAGGAGTTTGGCACTTGACCTTTTGGTTGTGGCAGGATATCATGCTGAATTCAGGAGGACAGACAAAAGAGGAAAGGCAGAATAAAAAACAATGGCTGAAAATAATTTCTGACTTGACACTAGAAATGAGAAAATGTTTTTTACATAATAGTTTTCACTCTCCTGGTTTATAACCTATCTTCAAAAAAGTGAAAATAATGCTGCAAATGATCTGCTTCAGCACCAAGACTTCCTCCAGCTTAACAAAATGTATAGGCCTTCTCTTTCCTTTTTTTTTTTCCCTCCTAAGATGTTAGTGGAGCACCACTTTGATTCAGTTCATGCAGCTAGGATCCAACGCTGCACCCTGTGAACTCAGGGGAGCTGCACAAGCATTGCTGGGCAGTGCAGGCTTGGTGGGAGCCTGGGGTGGTTCCTTGCCAGAAGTGCAGCAGGAGGATGTCCTGGGGTAGGGTGACAGAAGGATCTTCCACTGTAACTGGAGCATAAAGCAAAGCTTTCGGCAAGGCTGGGCCACCCTGGCAGAGCCCTCCTCTCCAGCCCTGCGATGCTGGGTACCTGCTGCCACCAGTTTGGTCTCACATAATTAACTTGGCAAGGGCACTTATTCCTACCAGTAGGCTTAATAAAGTCAGGGTGGCTTTAGAGGCAGTTGGGCTGACAGCAGCAAGAGCACAGTGCCCAGCATTGCCTTCAAAAGGCTCCTGTGTTTGTCCCCCTGCCTGTGGCACCGGCTCCTCCTCACACTGGGAGGGAGCCTGCGGTGAACATGGCTCTGTCTCGCCAACTAATCTGCACCCCACCGGCCTGACTCTTGGCACCACACATATGTTCCATATTTGTGTCTGTGTGTTACTGGCACCTCTTCATTTTCTCCCCTCTCCTCCCCCTGCCCTTGTCAGAGCGGTTGCTCCACCAGCCATGTACACAACCCAGTGCCAGCACAGCCACAGGGTCCCTGGCCGTCGCACAGCAGTCTTCTTCCTCCTCTCAGTGCTGGAGCAGCTCCTCCAAGCTGAGCCCTGCAGCAGCACAGACACCCCTCTGGGCATCCATGCACACCCCTGCAACATCACTTTGGGCCACCAGCTCCCGACAGAGCCAGCTGCTGGCGTGGCCGTAGCGGGGGTTGCAGTCAGCACTGCACCACCTTGCCCTCCAGAAGGATCATGCCACCCCTGCAAACACAGCACCTTTGCCTTTCTTGAGACTAGGAGGCCCAAGCTTAATGCCAGATTTCAGCTGAGCCCACGCTGCTCGGCTGCCAGATGTGTACGTTGTGCTGCAGAGCTGCAGGCAGCAGGGATGAAGCAGATGAGTTGTGCCGAGCATCATCTGGTGTGGTGGCTTTGCAAGAGACGGCCGTCACCCGCCGCTGCCTTTTCGCTTCTGCTCCCTCTCAAAGCCATTCAAAGCACCTCGTGTTGCGTGCAGGATATTACATGCAGGGTTGAATGGAGAAATTAGCAGGGGAGCTGTTTTCCTTTACGTGCAGGGTGGGGAGGTTGTCTCCATTTGAGCTGTATGTATGTTTTTTCTTCACACTGCAGTCTCGTCACAGAGGATTATTCCAACGAAGCAGCAGGTGATATTTCATGTAGATGTGGCATTCGGCCACTGTAGAGGTTACTTCCCTTCCTTGAGTTTTTGTAACTCTTTATTGTGATGCTTAGGAAATGAAGGGTGGTTATTTATTTAGCACTGCTGATGTTAATTCATGGTCACTGAATGATTAGTTCTGCAATATCTTATTTTTCAATAAATGATCAGTGATACTTTTATCATTTGCCTAACTGCCCAGGGCTTTAAAAGCTGCTGTAGGGCCCAGAGGGAAGAGTTACAAGTCTTAGGGGAGTGAAGACAGGAGGAGGTTTCTACTACCATCATCACCACCAGCACCCCAGAGAAAACATCCCCTCCCTGTGCCTGCGCAGGAGAAAAGCCAGAATTAGGAATTTAAAATCTTGGTTAATCTAAGGTGCAAACAGCAAGGACGTTGTGCATTATCCAGGCTTGAAAAGGGCATTGCTGTCTCTAAGGAGAGCAGCTCTGAGGGTCAGGAGCTCTAATTTGGCCTCTTTCTCTCTTAGGATGTGGTGGTGGTCGGGGAGGAGAACTTCACCACTCCATGCTATATCCAGCTGGACCCAGAGGCCTGCCATATCTTGACAGAAACTCTCAGCACGTATGCCTTGGTGGGACAGTCAATCACCAAAGCAGCAGCCAAACGTCTCAAACTGGCCATCTTTGGACCACTGTCCTGCTCTTCTCTGGAGTACAGCATCCGGGTCTACTGCCTCGATGACACACAGGATGCCCTTAAGGTGATTGTTGCTCTCTTGCCTGCTTTCCTTCTACCTCTCCAGCTCTCACACAACTGCAGTCATAGCAGTGACTAGACCCTCTGCTTCATCTATTTCTGCTCCCTGGGTTATTTCTCTGATTGGAAGAGCTTGAGAACAAGCTGCTGTTCTGCAGTTTAACCCCCACACGCTATAAATTGTCCTTTGCATAGGGAACACATACTATTTTCTGCCCACCAGTCTTTTTCCTTTGTTTACCTGTATCATATCCTGAATCCTAAGATATCTGCATTATTAAAAGGCCATAAGGTACATGCGGCTTCATTCGTTATTCATGTATTTTTAATGTTAAGTGCCAGCTCCCTAGAGATGGGGAAACATATAAATGCTTCTTTGTAAATAGTTGATAATGATAAAAGAAGCTTCTGGACTGTTAATCACTGCCTGCTTTCATACTGCTTTTTTACACCTCTTTGCGTGCAGCTTTCTGTGTTGGGAATTCATAACTGCAATAAACCAAAGCTGTTTCTATCTCTAACTGTAGAGCCTTACTCACTGTGTAATTCTGGCATGCACACAAACACACACTCAGTACATACAGATGAGCAGATAGATAACTATCTTTGCTATTTCTCTTTATAAATACCTGTATTTATGCAGATGGCACCTATAATAGATGCACTCATGAAATATGTAGCTCCAACTGCACATATAAGAATGGAGGTTATTAAAAGGTGGTGTTGTTTTTTTCCCTTTAGTTGTAGCCAGTGCAACTTCCCAAATGCCTCTGCAGCAAAACAAGTTCAAAGGCTGACTCTGAGAAGAGTCATCCTGGTCTTTTTTTTTATTTTTTTTTTTTTTTTTCCCCTCAGGTCTACATGGGAATTACTGGGATTTAAGCCCACACACACTGGCTGGGAGATGTTTGAGTTTTTCAGAGCTGTGATGTCCATCCCTGCAGATGGCACACACTGTTTTCCTGCCCTGTATTACCTGACACCAAGGCCTGCCTGCCTAGGCTTTGCTGGGGGAATACTCTTTCACTGCATGTGAGAAAGGCAGTAAAGTATAAAGATTGGAGCAGGCATATCGTGACTTCAGCATGAAGTACAGATTCAGTCTGTACAGGGCCTGGGAGATTGGCCTCTGCCAGTGTGTTCACGTTATCAGGTTTTTAGAAACATTTATTTTCCCCAGTCTGGTTTTGCTTTTGTTTTTCCTCTTTAAAAAAAGTGAAAAGGCTCTTTCACAGCAATCAAGCTTCGAAAGTCCCGACGGTTTTATGCCTGTGCTGCATAATACAATTTTCCGTGGGTTCATCAAGGCCTGAGGTAATAATAAGTGAGACAGAGGGGCCTTCAACAGACAGCTAATGCAGTCAAAGCTGGGGGAATCCAATTAGGTGTTACTCAAGAGCTGTTGGTTTGTTTCTAATAGACTGTGGGGGGACTTGTTGAGCTAAGGTTAATCCGATTCAGTGCAATAGCAGAAAGCATCAGGAGAGGTGCTGAGCAACACGGAGGGACCATCCTTCCCTGTTGGGGAAGTGGGCAGACCAGTCCTTGGGCTTCTGTTTTAAGTAAACCCCAAAGTCAGCTTGTAATTCAGTGAGGAAAAGTGAGTAAAGTCAGGTGGCCACTATCCCACTTGTACCTACTTCTTTTTTACAGAAAAGTATGTGCATTTTCATTTTCTTCTATTTTTTTTGGCACATCTACCCAACAGCTGGAAGACCAGCCACAGGGTTCAAGACCCAGCTAGCTGGTAGTTTGCAGGTGGGCAAACACATGTACTTGCTGGCCACAAACTCTTATGAATGTGTCAGCTACACTTCTCTGAAAACTAGAGGTCTGGGGAAGGACACGGTTTAAGAAAAACAAACCTAGTAATCTAGTTATAGATGAAACGGTTGGGCATGGATCCGCACATATGAACCCACGTGTACAAATCAGCCCCATGAGATGGTGTTGTATAAACTCAAACTGTGATTATTTAGAATGAAAAAAAGATTGGGGTGTTTTTCACGTGCTTTCACAGCAGCTGGCACCGCAGAAGCCCTGGCCATGCCAGGAGCTGGTCGTTGACATTGCCATATTGCCCAAAGGAAGGCATTCACCAGGCAATTACCACTGGCTTTGTGGGACAAGGCGTGCAGATGAGACTAGGCCAGTGAGTCCTGGGGTTAAAAGTAATTTGGAGAGGGTGGGAAAGTTGCAGGCAGCAAGCAAGGCACCAGCTGCACCACCTCGGTGTGTTGTGGCTGAGGCTCCAGGCAAGGCATGGCAAGGGGAGGGAAGAGCAGCAGGAGATGTTCCCACACTGGCATTTCTGAGATTTGGAAGAGCCTTTGTAGGCGATTATGTGTTTATTTTAATAGGTGACTGAATGTGTCCTGTTATTATTTACAACTAGGAGCGAGTGTGCCATATGCTGAACGTGTCCTAACAGCCACCAAGGGAAGACGAGCAGTTGCAGTATAAAACACATGTGGTGTTTATCCAGCAGGCTTCTCCCTCTCCTCATGGGGAGCAAACGCTCTCTGCTGAGCAGCCAATGCCTACAGTACAGCAGGGAGGTGGAATGACTTGTCACCAGTAAGGGCTCAGTTATTGTGGGAGAAGCTTGGTGGGGCTCCTGGGGGCTGTGGAGCAGTGGGCTCAGCACTCATCACATGTGCACCATCCCCTGCCCTGCAGGGTCCCAAGCCACCTGGATGGGATGCTCACAAAAACAGTTTCTGGGGAAGGGTGAGAGTAACAACGACTGTGAGCACTGGCTTCTATTTTCAGGCTGATTTTGTACTTAGAAAGATATCCCCAAACTAGTCTGCTATAAAGAAAAGAAAGTAATAATATGATAACTATAAAGAAATCCAGCTGCTTTACTCTCATCCGTTTATTCATGCACAGCTCTGGCACTGAGGTGCGTGAGCTGTGTGTGGCAGTGTGGTGGGGGCTGAGCAGCCTCGCACAGCGGGGGCGAGGGAAAGATTTCAGGCTGCAGTGGCGTCCCCCAACCTGCCTCATGCCTCACAGTAACTACCCTTCAAAACAAATTAAAAAAAAAGGCATTACAGGAATGTGATCATGGTTCTTTAATGCATATTTTTCCTTCTGATGAAGAAAGGCAACAGCTTAGACTGAACACCATTGCTTGCTTGTACCCCTTTAATGAGGAAGCACTTTCCAAGTACAGGTTGTGGCTGTCCTGGTGCCCCTGATGATGGAGCAATGTCTTACACAGCTCCCTCCCCTATGAAGAGCATAAGGGCTTAAGTCCCAGCTCGCAGGTTTGGTGAGAGGTGATGGCAAGAGTGGCCGGAGGCAACTCGGCACAGGGCAACCAACAGGCAGCTCAGAGTTTGGCTCAGGAGGACACAGAGGTGCCAGCCAGCAGGATAAGCACTACTCTAAATGAAATGCCATACAGCTAGAGCCAACTTGCAGGCTTAAAGGGCTCTGCAAATCACAGCTCCAAATTAATTCTGAATTAATTAGCTGAGCAGCACTGAAGAAGCATGGGGGCTTCTTGGCGTTCTCCAGTTGGAGCACGTAGAGGGGCTACAGTGACCAAGGGTGGTTACCAAAAGTGAGATATTAAAAGTAGACATCCAGATCTGGTGTGTGGGATGGTGCAGCATCACACTGCAATGTTCCCCCACAGTCATGCAGCTCTCTGAGCTAATGCTGCACAGGTAGGAGCAGTTGTTCAGTCCCCATGCCCCACGTGCCTGAGAGGTGGCATCTGCAATTAGCTCACAAGATGCCACGAGTCATCTTCTGGCCCTTCCAGGGAGGTAATTTGGACACAATGAAGATCTATAGTAATCAGATAATTACTATTGATTGCTCTTTAGACATCTTGACAAGGTAATTAGGGGGCACTGGAAAGAAGCTGGAACTGATTCATTGGCAAAAGCTTAACCTAAAAGGTTTCCCAATTTTGTTTCTTTTCCTCTAATGGCTCGTAAATGAACATCATTTTAGCTTCAGGATCTGCCAGGTGCTGGGGCGGTAGGTTTTCTTATATGCTACCTAGATCCTGAACATGATCAGGAGTAGGTTCTTTTGTCCTTAGCTGATTCAGAGGTTCTTTTAGTTGGCCTGGGGTAGCATCCTGGTTTCGTGTTCCTGTGTACTTCCTGAGCATGTTCACTCTATGCGTGATTTGCTTTGGCCCCGTGAGGCTCTTATAATTAAATATAACTGAGATTGTCTGTGTTGATTTCTAATGGGGCTCATCTAGGTGTTTTTGTACTTGGTTCTTCCATGTGGACCACAATTAGTCTGCCTGTAGGCAATGGTCCACTCATCAGTTACAGGTATATATTTATTTTTAGCTGCAGAAAATGACCGGACTTACTGGCTTACTAGGTTTTATTTACAATTTTAGTACCCTGAACCTGTGTATTTATATGTACAAAGTGCTCTATCACAGTGTCTTGCATTGTTTTGATACCATCCCACTTGAGGGGTTAGTCTCAGCGTAGGCATCAGTTATTTCCTGTATCACTTTGTCATAGAGCAGTTTTCCAGGAGGCTACAAGCTAAGGACCAGCAGTATGCACAGGTCCCATATCAGCAGGACCTACAGAAATAAGAGCTTCTAAAACCCAAATAGTAAAGCTACCATCAGATGTGCAGTTTGATGAGCAATAGAGAAAACGCATCCATGCCTATTGTCAAACAGTGCCTATGTGCAAAGTCTTTGCATTCAGCACAGTAGCATGCAATTAAGTTTTCTGCTTATAGGACATGTCAGAAAACATTGTGTCTCCCAAAGGAGACATGGGTGCCTGCATCCCTGCTGGGCTGCTGCAGTATCATGGGATGAGGGGCTTAATGCTCAGATCCAGTGTTGGTTCACAGGGAAGCACAACTCTGTGCAGTGTCTGCATTTTTTCCCCTGTATTACAGAAGTTACAGCATCTACAGCAGTCAGTCTTGAGGATTCAGAAGACCAGTGTGCTGTCTTGATGAAACCTGACTGCTTTCTTCTTTTTATTGCAATACTGCAGGAGGTCCTCCAGCTTGAGCGGCAGATGGGTGGGCAGCTTTTGGAGGAGCCCAAAGCTTTGCATTTTAAGGGAAGCACCCACAACCTCCGCCTGTCCATTCATGACATTGCCCACTCTCTCTGGAAGAGCAAACTTCTGGCTAAATATCAGGTGAGCATCACAAACTATTCACAGTGGATCCTAGCAGTGAGGCTTAAAGAAATACTGTGACACACAGGGGTGTTTAAAAAACACTGTGTGCCAGGCTGCAGTCCCATGGACATTTTTTTCCCTGGACTGTTTGCAGTGACAGTAGCGTAGAGCCTACAGTCTCTGGTCATATGGCATCCATGCCCTGGTCCAACATTCCTCTCTGACAATACCTTTTTTTTGCTTTCCTCCTGCAGGAGATTCCCTTTTATCACATCTGGAGTGGATGCCAGAGGAACCTGCACTGCACCTTCACTCTGGAAAGGTTCAGCCTGAGTACCCTGGAGCTGGTGTGCAAACTCTGCGTGCGGCAGGTTGAAGGAGAAGGACAGATCTTCCAGCTGAACTGCTCCATCTCTGAGGTAAATGACATCGGTGCGCTTCTCTATCCGAGGGCAGGAACATGGGAGGGCTGAAGAGTTATATCCTTTCCCATTGCTACCTGTTTAGTGCTTCCCATTTTCCTCCTGGCTGCTGGGATAGACGTAAGGAATGGATTAAGACATTTCTTTATATCTTCTGGTGCATTTTCCCTTATTTTCTCTCATGTGGAAGGGAGCATCCCTCCTTTAAGGGTGGAAGGAGGGCAGCTGTGCTTTCCCTGCTAGTGCCACCTTTCTGTGTGGATGTGGAGGAACTCTTTGCCCACCACTCCAGAATGCACCTCACAAAGCACTGCATTGTCCTGTTTCCTGGCAGTCCACAAGACCATCATGCCTGACATTTCCCTGGAGAAGGAGAAAGGAGGATAGGACAATGTCATTGCTGTGTGTTTACCTGAGCCACTCCCCTCTGATCCCGTGTAGTGCAGGAGAGAGTATCAGGTTGTCTAGTTGAAATAGACTTTTCTCCTCAGATTTTACTACTGCTACAAATCCTGACTGTTATCTTCCACAGTTCTTCTTTTGATGGCTGGCATTTTCCAGCAGCAAAATGATCACGTTTTGGAACATCTTTACTCGTGCTACATAGCACCTGGAGAATTTTTGCTCCTTGAGGCAGTCAGGCTTAGGGCTGAGACCAAGTGACATGTTCAGGTGTGAAGTGTCAGTGATTTCAGTGAACATGCTGGTGACTTTTGTGCCTGGTTCCCTCGGTGGTTACAAAGAGCAGGCTCTCAGGCAGCAGTTGCTGCTGGCTGACTTGAGGAAGGTCTGGGAGACCACAGTCAAAAGTTAGTTGTGCTGTAGGGCCCTGACGGTGTGCACCATTACCCATAACATCTGCTTGGTTATTGGGTGTAAAGTTACATATTCAGCTGGGGACTGCACAGCATTAAAGACAGATGGTAAAACAAGTATCATAAACAATTACTGTAATAAGTGCTGCATTGAGGTAATCTCTAATTTAACCTCACAGAGAAGAGAAAGAACTGAGAGTAACTTTAATGAAATGCAAGTATACACTGTAATCATCTTCAGCTGCTTGTGTGTAATAGGGCCTGGTAATGGATTCAGAGGGAGCAGGGTAATATTCTTGTCTTGTGCTGTGATCCCATCCATCACAGATGAATAGAGGGAGGGAGTAGTACTGCTGCTATCAAGGCTGCCTTCTGCAAAATTGCTCCTCCTGGTTGACATGTAGTGATGTTTCTGAACCCATGTAAGGTGCAGGAGGACCTTGGGCTGCTAAGGACTGGCATACAGCATTGTGTCAACTTTGTTACTAGAAAAAAAGCCTCTAAAACTCAACTGGTTTTATGGCAAAAGTTGCTTGGAGGTGTAAGTAGCAGCAACCTGGAAATCAATGTGCTTACCTCTAGAGGCATGGGAGGAAGAGGTAGTTGTGATAAAGGCACCAGACCAGGCATCAGGAAACCTTAGCTGTGGTTCTTCACGCTTTCTTCTGGGGGCTTGGTCATGGTTCTGGTGAGTGGGTCATGTAAGGGTGTGATTTGGTCTCTGCTTTCAGATGGTGTTTGGTTTGGTTTGGTTCGGTTCTGGTGATTTCAAACTGAGCACATTATTCCCTTCTTGTGGGGGAGGCAGGCAGCTAGAGGTTAGGCACTGCAGGACCATTCTGGCACCTTTCTTTGTTGCTAGATCTGCCTCTCTGCCTCTGTCTCTCCGTGGTAAAAATATAGTAACACAGTTTCCTCCATCCTCCCTTTATAGGCTTTCTTTTTTGCAGCTCGTAAAGGATGTAAAACTTCTGCAGATTAAACTGTCTTATTGTGGCTTTATACCATGTCTTCCTCTGGGACTTCAAAAATACAAACGCAATGAGTGCCAAAACAGTCAAATTTGTGAAGGAAAGAGGAAGATTGAGATAAAGGTCTCCCACCATTTGTTTTTGAAGGCCCCTTATCTTACGCTGTTGGTGTGCCCCCAAAAGAGCCCCAGAGCACTGCCATGGATCCCTGGGCTCCCTCTGCAGCCATCCTGCCACACCTGGGCCAGCAGGTCACCTCCAGAGCTGGGGCAGGGCTGACTCAGTGTGTCACTTGCATCCCTTAGCCCAGAATAAAAACGGGAAGGTTGTCCACCTGCAGTGCCACCAGCCCCCATCCTACAGCACCTTCTGACCTTCCGGTGTGGGGGAGCCTGCAGGCAGCAGCAGGGGCATGCCAGTCATTTTGGCAGCTCCCGGGCAGCTGCCAGGCAGTTAGGGGACAGTAGCTCATTTTCTGGAGCATTGGGGCTGGGGCAGCTGGTCTGCAATGCAGGGTCTTGGTGCCTTTGTAGGGAAGAAGTTCTTCCCCATGAGAGTGGTGAGACCCTGGAATGGGTTGCCCAGGGAGGTGGTTGAGGCCCCATCCCTGGGGGTCTTTAAGGCCAGGCTGGATGAGGCTCTGGGCAGCCTGGTCTAGTGGGAGGTGTCCCTGCTCATGGCAGAGGGGTTGGAACTGGGTGACCCTTGTGGTCCCTTCCAACCCTGACAGATTCTGATCTGTTTTAGCAGAGGACTTCAGAGCCCTAATGGCTCAATGGTTGGACTTGATGAACTTGGAGGTCCCTTCCAACCTAAAGGATTCTATGATTCTATGGCACATTTGGCACTGCTTTGGGCGTGTTCATTGAGGACATTACAGTGTGGCATAAACCCTCTTTGGTTAGAAATTTCACTGAGTGCAAGTACCATTTCTTAAAAAGAAAAAGAAAAAAGTGAAAAAAAAAAAACATTTATAGAGTGGAATAGAATTAACAGATGTGAATAAAATAGCAGAGGCAAAAGCAGTTTAATTCTGCTGTTTGCTCTTGGATACTGCCTCTCCCCATTACATTCCTGCATACAGTTTGGGCTGTGGGGTGGAGGGTGTGTGTGAACCAAACACTATGCGTGACTGTGAGCATCTCCAACAAGCCTCCTGAGGGATTTCTGATGGCAGCTTAAGCCAGCCATTACCTGGGCTTCAGACAGTTTCAGGTTTTACAGGGCTTTCCCAGCAGCCAGCTTGACACAAAACAAGAAGACAGCTCACAGAGGAGAAAAGCCCTTGACATTTAGTGACAAGTCTTTTTGCATGGGTGTTTCTGGCTGCCCAGGGCTGTGACCTGGGCAGAGGTGGAGCTGAAGCTGCTCACTCGTTTCTGCCCGCCCAGCTTCAGGCCTGTCGTGCTGCAAAGGACAGCAGTTGAGGAGTCGGGTGGAAGACACAGGAGCAGTCCCAGCCCTGCTTCCTGCTTTTTGCAACCTGTGCTTTGGGAGCTGGAGGTGAGAAGTGCTGCGCCTGGGTGACAGGTCCCTGCTGCATGGCTGGGCGGCCTGATGCCATACATGGGGTTTGACAGGGCTTTCAAATGCCCCGTAGCACCTCCTTGTTCCTAAGCAAACCCAACCATCCAAATTTCCCAGCTGCCCTTGTCCTGCCAGCTACTGACTCCCTCTTTCCACTGTCAGTACTAGATCCTCCCAAGCCAAGGAAGAGACAAAATCCCTGCACAGATGAGCCAATTGTTTGTTTTTCTCAGTGGGGCCATCTTACTGTGACTTTCCCCTTGGAACACTGTTGCCCCCACCTTGGAGCACAGTGCTGGCCTTGGGGAGGAGGGCGATGGCAGCCCCCTGAGCACGCACGCTCCATCTGTCTCCAGCACAGTTAAAGCCACATGAAAATGAAGCATCAGCTTGTGCCTGGGGTGACATTTAACCGTCTCTTAAGGTCTGCCCAGAGTCAGAGGCTTCAGGCAGCAAAGGTGCTGCCAAAGGGGTGTCAGCAGCATGAGCCTGGTGCTGGCTCTTTGCGGGGTGGGGTGCTTGGGGAGCTGCTGGGAAGGGGCTCCCACCAGCCAAGCCAGGAAAGCCCCATGCTCCCCTACCAGTGCCAGTTTGCTCTGAAATGTGTCAAAGTACCTGAGCTTTCATTAGTTCCATTAAGTGATTAATTGAGCTGGGCTCAATTTTGTCCAGCCATAGTAGTCTTCACCCAAAAAAAAAAAAGCTGCCGTGTACCCAAAGTTGGTTCTAAATATTTCTCATTTTCATCTGACTAACACGAATGCTTGATTAACAGAGGTCTGCTCCCCTCTGATGCAAGTGAAAGGACTGAGTCTCAGAGGAGACACTTCTACAATAGTCTCTGCACTCACTAACAAAACTGCTGTCTCTCTCTTTCTTTTTTCTTTTTTTTTTTTCCCCTTTCTTTCCAACCTCAGGAACCTACTGGCATTGATTACCCTCCCCTGGACTCAGCAGGCACCGTCACCACCATAGTAGGGCCCAGCGCCTTCAGCATCCCACTCCCCATCAGGCAGAAGCTGTGCAGCAGCCTGGACGCGCCCCAGACCAGGGGCCACGACTGGCGGATGCTGGCCCACAAGCTGAAACTGGACAGGTGAGTGGGGCTGCCCACATGTGCTTGAGCTGCAAAGTCCCTCGGGAGGTTTGTGCAAAAGGTGAAGGTGAGTGGTATTGTGTGTCTACACACTGGTCAGAGTGACCTCACAGGAGATGAGCGCCCTGAGAGCACCAGCAATGGGGACGGGTTGAAACGGCAGAAACTCAGGCAGCCTTCTTGCAGCTCAAAAAAGGGCTTCCTTTTGGCTTGTTGCAGGTACCTAAATTATTTTGCTACGAAATCGAGTCCCACCGGGGTGATCCTGGATCTCTGGGAAGCCCAGAATTTCCCTGACGGCAACCTGAGCATGCTGGCAGCGGTTCTTGAAGAAATGGGAAGACACGAAACCGTTGTTTCTTTGGCAGCAGAAGGAAATTACTGATGCAGCCTTGGCATGAACAGGAAGGACAGACACAGGGAGTGGTAATGCCCTGTTATTGCAAACGAGAACTGAAATGAAAACCCAGACCAATGAGTTACACGAGACGTTTCACAGAAGCAAGCAAGCGAACAAACGAACACACAAAAAACCAGCCCTGACCTTCACATGTGCTCTCCTTGTACATTATCACAGGATCTAAAAGAAATCATGCAAAGTTGTACCTTGAAAATATAAATCAACCTAATGTTCCTCTTGGCTTGGCTGTACACTGCTTGGTACAGGATTTTACAGTTTCCTAGGAAACGCTTTTTATTGCTATCCAGATATATGGATAAACTTTCTTAACAATCCCAGTTTCTATGGATGTTGTTTACATCAAATTCTGGACAGGGGTAAGGAGACTGTCCATGGCTCTTTATATTTTTTGTTTAAAGCCATTCTAGACAAGGCTATGGACAGTTGGTTGTGGCTATGTCAGCTTATTGGTTTCTGGTGAATTCAGATTTTGGCTACAATTCTGCACATCGATTATGTCACAGTGATCCTCCTGTCATGTCTGTTTCCTAGACCTACTTGTAAAAAAAAAAAAAAGGCAGCAAACAGGAAAATCAGAGTTTTAAGAGGTGTGCATCTGGAAAGCAGGTACTCTGGGTGCTAAGCAGGAACACACATAATGTTCCCTTCCCTTCCTGGTCGAGTCCCACTGTGCCTGTGTGGGGAATAGCTGTAGCACAGTGGGGAACGTAGGATCAGAGTTAATTTTCAATTCACAGTGTAACAACACCCTCTCCATCCCTTTGCAATATGAGTGGGGATGGATATGTAATTCAGAGTGGTTAGGGGAAAAAAAAAATAGAAACCCGGAAAGAAATAAAAAAGAGAAGTTGCTATGATAATTATTTACTAATTAGTATCTAGTGCAAGGATTATAATGAGTATTGTTATTATCATTACCATTATTACTTTATTTCTAATTTTGTCAGCAGCAGAATGAATCATACCTGTTTTTATGGAACCTCTTGTCCCTTTCCTGAAGTTCTTCTAAGATGTGTCCCTGTATATGCTGTCTGTCCTTCCCTTCTCCAGCCATCACACTCCTCCTCCAAAGTCCTCTGTGGCCCACAGGCATTGGTCACCTCTGGTTGGCATTGCTGTGCTTTATGCCTGATGCAAAGGTGGTATAAACTGCTGCCACTCCACTGAAGTCACTGATTGATAGGAGCCCACAAAGGATCCAACCCAGTGCTCCCCCTTGGGATGTTTTGCACCACTTGGTGCCTCCAGGTTGCTCCAAGAAGCAATCCTGTCCTGAGGTCACTGTGAATCAGTGACAGCCTCCCAGTCCAAATACATGTAGATCAGGAGCATGGGTGCAGGCATGTGAAGGGAATGACAGTGACCACCCAATTTGCACATCCAAGGTGGGCCTCCATATGTCTTGCTTTGCTTTGAAGTGGTCTGAGAGCCAGCTGCTCCTGTTAGCTTCCCATGGAGCTGCAGGTACTCACTGAAACCTACCACCTCCTGTAATGTTTGCAATGGTCGGGGCTGCTGGGGGTCCTCTGCTGGGTCATTTCTGGGTGAGAGGCACTCAGCCGGTCTCCACAGGTACTCCCAGGCTTGGTGCCACCAGGGAAGCCTCCACCATGTGGGCCAGTGTAGGGCCATGGAGTGGTGAAGTCCCACGTACAGCAGTTTTCTGCCTGAGCAGAGCAGTGCAGGTCCTCGCTGGATGACCAGGGGGTTGTTTGTCCCTCTCAGCCACATCCCTCTTGGCCACCACAAACAAGTGAAGTGGGATCTTGGCAAAAGGAGCAAACTCTTCCTTTTTTGGTTGTCACCAAAAAAACCTTTTATCAAACGTATTTTATTTTCTGCTCAGTGTAAAGACTGACTCTTTGGTACGTGACAGTGCATAGTTTTACTTCTGGGCTTATGTGTCCTCTACTTTTGGTGCAAAAAAGTCTGTCTTCTCCAGCCTGTCCACTCCAGGTTTCCAGCCAGACCCTGGTTGTTGCTGTTGTGCACTCATGCCTGTCCTTGCCCATACACATATTCCCCTCCATGTGCTTCCTGAGACTGGAGTTCTTTTGTTTTCTTTTGTGGTTTTGGTTTTGTTTTTCTCCAAGGCTTTGCAGATTGTGCCATTAAAGGTAACTTTGAAAATGTCATTGGTCAAAATGAAAGGAAAATTTCATCTGACCTTTTCCCCATTTGACATTTTGATAGGCTTGGGACTTTATTTTAATTTCTCAGCTCCCTGACACCAGCTGGGTTTTGACTGACTGCTGGGCACCAATCACAAAGTTTTCCCTTCCTCCTGAGAGGTAACCTGGCAGTTTGCAAACCAGCATTTCAGTCAAAACTGGAGACTGAAGGACATACAGTTTAACTTTCAACATCTTTCAGCATTTTGCCAGTGTAAGCGCCACCTTCTCTTAATGTGGAGATGCCAAGGGCATCCTTTCAACAACCAGCCATGTTCTCTTTCACCTTGGGCATCTGATGCAACCTATTGCCATGCTAATGGAAATCTTGCTTTCAACTTCAGGAGGCTTAGAATGGGGTTTCCAGCTCATCCCTTTCCCCATCTTTTTCACTAAGAGCTCTAAAATGACTCTTAAAAGATATGTCTCAGCTTTTCTCACTCCTGTGCCATCTTCAGGTGGCATTTAGTACTTAGTTCAGGCCTCTTCACCCTTTCTGTGCATCCTTCCTGTGTGACTCCTTTTCCAAGACAGGTACATGAGCTGCCGTGTCCTTTGGCCCCTTCCCCTCTTCTGCTCAGTCTTTGTTAGCTGATACCAGGGTCAGTGGTACTCCTGGCTCTCAGCGTTTTCTAGGTGGGCAGCTTGTGCACCCTTCTCAGCAGGGCCTTGCCAGAAAGTATCTCATAGTTATCTGTATTGCTATAAGTCAATGCTCCTTTTGCCAGCTCTCTGACCTGATGCTTCCTCTAAGAAAAAGCAGATAAGCAACTCTTTTAAAGTGTTCTGGGGTGTTTTCTATTTACAGCATCGCTGTAAAGGGCATTTTTTGAGGAAGAGGCATACTCTGATTAAGAGGAGCATCCACAGAGGTGGCCACAGGTCAAGAGCATCACCAATAGCTATGGCAGGGGCATCACTGTCGTTGGGAAGTGGAGCTGCTTTTTGCATCCCGACTGCTCAAAAACCTTCCCTCGCCTACTGCAGCCAAGAGGCTGGATGGGTTCTCCAGCCTCTGCTCCATCAGCTTTGCAGGGTCCCAAAATGGCCTCAGCCCTGACAGGGCAGGGTGAAACAGGGGCTGCCAAGGACACAAAAGTGTCCTCCACAGGGTGACACCTCAGCTCAGCAGCTCTGCACTTGTCCTGTGCCACCACTGCTAGTGGCAACTCCCACCTCACCTGGCACTCCCTCTGCAGTAATTTTGCTCATTTTTTCCTCTTTTTTCCGGGCATACAGTGGTGACATCTGGGAGAGGGCCTGTGCTATGCACCCCTCAACACCCCCATCCTGCTGCCCCAAGGAGAGAGGGTGGGGAGCAAGGGCCAGATCCACTCAGGATGCTATTTTTGGTAGGAGAAAACCCAGCAGCAGCCCCTCCGCCTGGCTCGCGCGGACACAGTGCCATCTCGTGGGGCTCAGCCCTGGCTCCATCCAACACGCCACTGCTGCCACCTGGAGCAGCAGCACTTGGGGAAAGGCTTGCCCACGGGACAGCTCGTGAAAAATGGCAAATAAGTTTGGCAGACAGAACCGACTCTGAAAAGCTGTTGTAACCTTTTAATGTCAGGTAAGCACATCTGCTTTAAAAAAAAAAAAAGAAAGGCTGCAGGCTTCTTATCCTCCAGTTATTACTACTTTTTTTAAAATGCTTATCTTTTTAGTTGTCCACCTTCAGTTATGTGCTGTAGCAGTTTTGCTGCTCTTCACATCATCTCTTCATTACATGTTGATTGCTAGTGCTATAA